ACAAGCGCTCGTGTAAATTCCAGGGAAGACACTTCTGCGGTACTGCTTCCGCTGCCTGCCTTCTGTTTGACTTATTTTGCTAAAGGTGATGCTCGTGTATGGTTTGCATGTGGAGCACATCTTGGTATCCACATAGCTCATGAGGTGGAAAAAAAAGTTAAATGTTAATATTTTGCAAGCATTAGCTTGAGCAACAAGGACCTTAGAATCACGACAGTGAGCACCATCATTAGGTCAGGTGAAAATGACCTTTGTAGGCAACTTTAAATCCAGAAGAATTCCTTAGTAGTGATAAAACTTCCCATTAAATGCTATAAAGGGGTTTAACAATAAATCAGTGGAGAAGGAAGGATACTGTGCTCCGATAGTGGTAATAGCAGCTTAATATATATGGAATTGCAACCCCACTAAATTATGAGGGCTCCCTGCAGGGAAAAGTTACCCTACTGTTGTCTCTGCTTTGTGCTGCCTTCTCACAGGGAAATAGCAAATGATTTGCTACCTCTAATCTTGGTTTTGTGTGTGGAGTGAGATAAGCGTGCGCAGGCTTTGTGCGCAGAGGTGGATGTCCGCTTAACCAGGGCTGGTTTTATGCTCGTGGAAGGGAAAGAATATCTGAAGTATCCTTTCATTTTGCCACACAGCTGTATTTTTTTTTTTGCTATAATCTTTGGACGTGTGCTTCTAACCTAGTTGCAAGTTATTGCTTTGGTTTTCAGAGGGTGGACAGGAAAATGGAGGTTTAGCTGCCAGTATGGAGGGAAAAAGTTTTGGTTTCCTCTTTCACAGGAGCTCAGTTCAAATAAACAAGTCATAGCTGTTATCTCTCATGACTTACAGAAAATACACAATTCCTTTGCAGGAGTGAGCTGCAAGGAGGGACCCCAGGAGGACCTGTGGATGGGTCAGATGGCAGAATTAATTTATCTGTCACAGAACCAAATCCAAGTGCCCTTTACTTTTTTGTCGTAACCTCTTGAGATTGATCAGTCAGAATTAAAGCAAAGTGGAAGCTGGTTTCCAGTCTTTGTTGCTGTCTCCCATCCTGCTGCTGTCAAAATCATTCTCCTTTTGTTTTTTTTTCCCCTCAATACAAGATGTCCATCACAGGCCTAAGTCTCAGAAATACTGATTTTGAACAGTTAAACCTCCTTTATTTTCATATAAGTTTCAGTTGTTTTACACATTTGATTGGCGCTTTCCCCAGCAACCTAATGCTCCATTTGGAGTAATGGGAACACAAACCATTAATAAAAGATTAAAGAAAAAGCAAAACACTAGGATTTAAAATTCCAAACAGATCTCTGTAGACTGTCCTTATAAAAGGCAGTGTCTTCAGCGGGCATTGAAATGCAGTTCTTCCTACACATTAAATAATAAAATCAGACATGTGAACTTTCAGACTGCTGCGCTGAGCAAAATGGATGTAGTTCTCTCAAGTCCATAAAAGTAAGGAAAATCAGATTTTAAGAACCAAGATCACACTTGAGCACAGTTGGAAAACTACAGCATGTTACCAAAACTGTCATAGCCTTTTTGTGTATTTCCTTTCATAGTCTTTCTGATTGCTAGGGTGCATGTCAATACTCTTTTCTTACTGGTTTCCTCCTCTTCCTCCTGCTCCGGGGCTGTGTTTGTGACAACAGTGGTTACCAAGGGGACTGTGGCACGCGGTGCTGGAGGTGCAGCAGCATGACCTTGGTGAGCGAGTGGACCGCTTGAAGCATATAGATAGACAGAATGACTAAGGCACAAAAATGGAAAAATATGCAGGCAAAAAATACATGGATCTAATGAACCTTGGATTAAAGTATTGGTGCATGGGGTTGCTTTTGTTCTTTCAAGTTCACCAGAACGCATACTAATGGTTATCTAAAGATTTTCTGTTGTGACCTGAAAATCGCTGGTATTGGTTTTGGAACGTAGGCTGTATGATACATAGCTAAGGACATACCTCCCCTCTACCAAGACAGGCAGGATGAGGTAAGTTTAGAATGAAAACTGTAACTCTATCTCAGCTTCTAGAAAAGGGAGCATTAAATCAGATGCTGCAACTGCTTAGTGCTTCTCTAATGCTTAATGTGTGGAAATGTTGTTGAATCTTCACAAGACCCCAGTGAGAAAACTACGCAAGCACTAGTGTCCTCAGTTAAAAACAGGTGAATGTGTGATAACATAGAAGGTGAGTGAACTCTCATAAAGTGACTCATCAAATCATCGGCAGAAGGCAGGATAAAGATCTGGGAATTCCTATCTTTATAGTTCTGTGTTTATTTCACTGGATCAGATTGCCTTTCATTGAAAACGCAATTTTTGCGCATGACCTGTAAAATTAAACTATCTTGCTCGTACCGATATTAATAACTTTAAGACAAGCCTAGATTTAGCACAGCATATTCAAATTGGTTGAATGTGATAAAGATCTCTTACGGGTAGAACTCATACAAACGCTTAAGCAACAAACGTGTGAGCATTTTGGTGCAGAAGTGGACTTGCCCTTGTCTATGCAGATGTCCACAACTGTAGGAGCATATAAGCAAAACATTCTTTTTTGCAGAACCCCTGAGTCTCTCTCCCTTCTCACTTATGCCAAGTTTGCACTGGTATAACTCCCGATTCATATTGCTAAGTGACAGGAGAATTGAGGCCTTTGACTTGTTGGTCTCACTCAAAACACATTTTTATGGTCAGGGTTATAATGGAAATGCTGACAAACTCGCACGCTGAACTATATTTGTGCAGAGTGTGACACAATAATAAAGATCTGCTTTACTGCCAAACTGTCCCAGATAGACGTTAAGGGAATGATGCTTTTCTGTTTCCCCATTGTAAATATATATTTTGGCAAGAAGGTGTTTGCCAGGTCAAAGTCATTGCCCTGAAAAAGAATGAAATAATGTAAATAGTGAAGCACCCAGCCCCTCCAGTGAAAGTCACCAACTTTGAAGACCAAACTGCAAAAGTATTATGTCTTATGTTCATGCATCAAACGTAGTAAATCAGCACACTATTAATTCAGCGTTAACAGTATTGATTCTCTATGCATGTAACTCCCACAGAGATCATTTGTAGGTCTATTTGTGAAAGGACTACAGGCATTCATGTCACTAAAATGTATGAAGTCCATATTTGCAGAGAGTTGCTTTATATGTGGAACTTGAGCAGTGAAGGGTCTTTCAGTTCCAAAAATGCATCTCCAGTCTTATCAGCATAAAAGCTGGTATTTACTTCAGTCTGGAACAGACAAATGGGGCTTTCATCCAGCAACTTGTCTGAATTTTTAGGGAGAACGGGGCATGTTGATTTTAATCCTAAATGTCTTTGTATATAGGACTCCTTATATTAGAGCTAAGTGAATTATTTTTGCAAGGCTTTGTTTCTCCTCTTTTTCCATGAGTGCTAAAACAATGATTTATTTGCTTGAAGACTTACTAAAATACTTTTTTTTTTTTTGTTAAGAAGCTACAACTCTCCCTCTCCCCCTGCCCCAAACCTGAGGCTGAGTCCACTGAAAATTAAGTTTAAAGAGAGATTATTTTTCATCTTTTTTTTGCCAAAATGTCTTCTACAGTCTGTTCTATTTTCTTTCCTCCTTTTGCTCTCAAGAGCACAGTAGAGGCTTTCTAGTGACGTTACTGGAAATCTGCATGGCAGTGTCACTGTTGCCTATAGAATAGTCATCATGTTCAATTTTGTTGATCCTGTATTTGTTTGCTGGAAAGCAGATCCATCTGTTTGTCTTCAAAGTCTATTTTCCCAGCTTTCCGTTGCTTAAGGAACTATACCCAGCTAAAGTAGAGTCTTTGACTGCAAAAGCTTAAGATATTAATGTTTTGCTCTGCTGTTTTAACGATCAGTGTGATGTTTTGAAAGTGTTCTGTCTTGTCAGCCCTGTTGTCTTTGCAGTCTGTGTTGATTTGGATGTCAGCTGTGTTTCCAATAAACTTCTGAACTGAGAATACTTTGTAGTGGGGAAGAAAACAACTGCTTTGTTTACCATGCTATGAAAATTAAAGACTGAAGACTTTCAAAAATAGGAGCCTACAGTTCGGATCCTGCGCCTATGTTTAGGTTTTTAAAGCGGTGGCCTAACTTTTGAAAGGGCTATGCATCCAGCAGCTCCTGTTTGGAGCCGAGGTTATTTACCCTGCTGGGACCTGTTAAATGTAGACGATGGTAACTCCTGCTGATGCTTAGTGTGAAATTGGCAATACCTGTACAGTCATTCCTCAGGAGCAGAAACTGTAGATGCAGGTCGCAAACTCAGGTTATGTTTGTTTTGTAAGTGCTTGTGATTTTTGCAGGAGGTTGGAAGGTGAGGAATTCCACTTGTTTGGGCTAAAACTCTGAATTTAATTAAAAATTCCTGCGAGGATTTTCATGCATGAATTGGAGTAATGTTTCTCTGTCATATTTTCAGGTAGGTACAAAACAAACCTCCTTTTTCTGAAAAGGGTAATTGGAATAGATTATTTTACTTTTTCACTGTATTGACTTTCTGAAGAGAGTTTTAGCATACGAAATTTGGAGCAAAATTTCTCTTGCTATTTTCAAGCAGAAACATAGCAAACATATTTACTACTGATTTTCAAAATATGTTTTTTAAATAAGTAGTTGGAACAAATTATTTCCCTTTTGAGACAGAAATGCAAGTGTTAAAGGGAAGCGGCTTATGCTTTTGAGTGAAGAGTATTTTCTTTTATATATGGAAAATAAGGTACTGGCTATTACAACTTTTAAGACGGAGGAGCCCAAATACTACTATTTATCTCCTTTAAAGTCGTGAAGGACAACTGGACAGGCAGGAGCTGGAGCTCCATTTTGAAAACAAACATGTCCCCTCCGTCCCCCAGTGCAGCAGGCTCAGAGATAGGCAAGTGTTACTTGGTTGCCTTCAGGTCTACAGGAGGTTCCTGGGGATGGAGGAGATGCATTGTGCTGTGAATGTCTGCTGGACCTGTTGGCTAAGCCATTTTCCATGTCTTCAATTAACTGTCCTACTAAATGCTTTTTTGATGAAACGCAGTGTATGAAACATTATCTGGAGCGTTTCTTTCTGGAAACGTCATCGGATCCGCTGCATCCCCCTCAATCCGGGCCTGAGGAGACTGAACCAGAGGCTGAACTGCCACACGAGTGAATCTGTAGATATTCCCCAGCATCGAGCTCCTATGACGTAATGGTGCAGCGATGGTCTTAGAATAAAAGCATAAAATGAATTGATATGGAGCATAATAAGTATCTTCTGGATATTTCCTTTGTCTTTCCTTTAGCAGCTGCAACCAGACTTCACTTTGCTATTTTTAGTGTGGTGGTCACAGTTTTAAAAATGTGTCCTCAGTGCTCTCTGGCTACCCTGCACTGCTAGGTTTGCCAGTAGTTAAGCTGAATTTCCTAGAAGTTAGGTGACTCATTTAGACTCTCTCTAAAAGTTGGTAGCTGAGATGGGAATGGAACTGCGGACTCCTGACTGCTAAATCTCTTGCCATAACCAGTAGACATCACTCCTATTGCCATTTGTTTCTGAACCTTTTTTTTTTACTGTAGCCAATGTTATCATATTCTTGGGTTTCTTAGGAGCATACATACATATTTTTACTATAGCATACACATCCACCATTTTGAGCATTAATCTTGAGGTCAGAATATGCCTTTTGGGTATTTTTCTCTTAATGAAGTAACTTGCTGCAGAGGTGCCATAATATCCTAGCAATCTGCATACTCTCTGGCCAAAGTACTTAAAGTTTTAGCTCCCTCTTGAATATGTTGGTTGGAAACATGCCGTTTCTAGAAGCTAGATATTTTTTATTGGATTTGATGGGAAATATAAATTGGACTTGGAGAAGGGCTAACCCTTCAAGCCCTCGATTCTCCCTATTAAGATTTTCCTTGCAACTTGGCCTCTTTTAAACTCCCATCTCGTGCATACTCTTTTCTAATCTGATACCTCAGTGTACATATCTAAACATGATCAGTGACAGTTTTAGCTGCGGGGTGAGACTTTCTGTGACAAGGGCAGTGAGCTCTGATTTGAGACCATTCATTGCAAGTGACTTCAGCTGTCTCTTCAAGTGACATCCAGCTACTTGAGGAATGAGGGATGACGAAAGTTCTTTGGACAGAAAACTTTCACTGACAAGAAGGTGACAGGTCCTTGCACAGCTGGTCTCTGATATGCCTTGGAAGAGGCCTACATAGTTACTAATTTAAGTTTAGCGGTGGCTGCAAGCATGGAGCAGACAAGTTCTTGTAGATTTGTAACTCATCTGCAGGAATGACAGGAGTTGGAGCTGCTCTTACGGTGCTTGCATTGTTGTATAACATTTCCAATAGCCCATGTTTATTTAAAGAGCTAAGTAAACTGAACTGCAAGCTATTCTGATTCTCATTAATGCTTCTTAATACATAGCTGAACATGGTGTATTCTGTTAATTTATTTAAAGTAGATGCTGACCTTTTTTAATGGTCTGTCAAGTTGTAGAAATGATATCCTCAGTCTTAGGCCTGTCTATTCCTTCCTTTTTCTTGTCCTAATTTTCCCCAATATCTGCTCTCAGTTGCTCAGCTCTAGTGGTGCTATCAAGAATGAGAACTCTAACGTGTGGAGCGTGTGGGTGGCTGTTGTGTTTAGACAGACGTTCTACCTTGCCCAAACAAATAAAAGTAACGCCTGAGTTCCTGTGCTAAGAGTGGTGTGTGGTGCTAGGGAACAGTGTGTTAATGCTCCCACCGTTGCTACCCTTGGTGAAAGCGTCGGAGGGAAATCAAAAGATCCTTCCAAAAAACAAAACAAAACAAAACAGACAGACAATGGGGCCTGAACATATACAAATGACCTCTTTCCAGAGCTTTAGGAATAAGTGCTTGTTTTGCCATCATCTAGCTTAATGGCTGGATTCTGATCCCAGCTCTGCCATTGACTGCGTTTTGGTCGCTGTCAAACCACTGGAGTCACATGAAATGGCCACTGATTACTTCTCTGTCTATGCAGTAAAGCTTTAAATGTTGAAAGTGTCCCCTATGGTAAGGCCTCATCCAAGAAGGATAAAACATTTACCCTTTAAATGCCAGGTAGCTCTTGGAATAAGCTATGGGTGTGCCTCCTCCCCCCAGGAAAAAAAAGGCTCCTCTGAGGCCCAAACATAAGCCGAAGAAATGAGGTGGCTTTTTGCTGCCATTAAAATAACAAGGCTATTGGGGCAGATGTGATCTGGGCGGCTCTTCCTTTCATGCTGACTCCATGGCAGCTAGTTCTTCCTGCTGTTCAGTTTTTTTACACGACTGTCCTCTAGGCCCCCCAACAGTGATTTTACTTAAGTATGTCGTTTCACGTAGCTGATTTTTTAGAGCGTGGCCATAGAAATGGTCAAATTGGCCTGACTGAGAGGACTGTCACTTGGAGTGTGGCTGCAGGGGAGGGGTGGCAGCTGAGCGAGGAGCCTGCCAAAGGCATGGGGCTTGCTGCTGACAGAAGAGCAATGTTGAAATACTATCGGGATGAATTGTTAAAGGAAAGATAGGCCAAATGAAACTAATTGTTACAAAGAAAATAACGAGACTACAGCAGCACAAGCACTGGGTGGTCCTGGGCTGAGCTCTGCTGGAAGCGGCCATTTGCACCGTTTGAAAATTTGTCCTCTTATGTATATGGGAGTGCATGTCACCCTACCAATACAGCTTCAGCTCTCCTGGAGAGTCCTTGTTTTTTATATGTGAAAAATTGCCTGGCTTACATTTAAAGTTATGATAATACAGCCTGTTTCTCAGCAGTTGTTTCAGTCCACAGCTGGTGCAAGCCAGCAGAGCTCAGCCGCCTGTACAAGAGTCATACCGCTTGCAGCCGCCGAGGCTTTGGCCCTCGGTAAACCAACACTAGCATATCATTGCACGGATTTGACCTCATCTGTTTTGTTTTCTCCATCTCCTTGACTCATCATGGAGTAAATTGTCACTGGAGCAAGGGAGTAGGAGAGGAGATAATTAAATATTACATTAGGGTAATAAGGTGTGAATAAAATTATTTCTGTGGTTTAACGTGTATGTCGTCTTTTTAAAAAAAAAAAAGAAATAAATAAAAAAAATCTCTGCTTTTGGAAAATGAACTCCATATAACGCCGAAAAGAGTTTGTTGTAGATAATCAAAAGGATCAAGTGCACCTCTTACAGATACTTTGTTGATGGTTAAAAGAAGTTATTCATGCTGAGCAATCCGACAGGAGGAATGCAGCCCTAACTTTTGCATGCTAAATGAGGGAAGTAGAAAGCAGTGTAGCTTGTAAAGGCAATCCTGTTTGTTTAAAGGAACACTCTTCTGTAACCTGATTTGTATTATGACTATGTCGCTTGAAGCTTGGTAGGCCTTAGCATTAGTCAATGGCAAGACTTTTGCTTTCAGTAGGACTGTGATTCGGCCTGTGTGTGTGTATTTATGACTAAGGTTGCAGGTACCTGATGTGGACTTTTCCCCTAGAAGTCACCGGGGGGGGGAATGAGTGGTGCTTGGCTTTCTGGCAACAAACCTTGGATTTTTAATGACCCATCTGTGATAGCAACTTAAGTGTTGTGAAGCCCTTTGCTAAAGGGCTGATTTCTCACTGTTGTGCTGAGTTGTATAATTACAAAAGAATAATTTTTCTGGTGTCTGAGGCTCTTTTCTTACTGAAGTTGTTATTCTGGCTTTCTGATTTCATCAGAACTGTCTGTACAGCATGAATATGTTGTAAGATCTCTGCTTTATTTTTGATGATTGCACATTGCATACTGTTGAAACGTGATGTAGGCTTTGTGTGCATCAAAGGAAACGTTTCCTTTAATGAAGGTTTCCTTTAACATGAAAGAGGCAGCAGAGAGCATGTCTTCTAACTTACCTAGAAAGCTGACCAAAATGCAGGGCACAGACCTTCAGTCTTTGAAATCGAGGTTATATTGGTTTTCCAGTTGCTCTTCCTCCAGTTTTCAAATGTACATTCCAGGCCTTTTTTGCTTTTGTATTTGCCCTATGTTTCTAGGATTTTAGTGTGATATGAGTGAGGCAGAAATGTTTCTCTTACCAGTGAAAATTGCTCAAGTTGACCTTGCCACGTGGAGGAACAAGATCTTGGAGATGGCCCTCGAATAGGGGGAAGGTGCTGCATCTTCTGTCAAAGAAGTGGGTGTTGCATGTAAGTTTGCTCTGAGTAAAGGCCTTGTTCCCTGCACTCTGTCCTCGGATAGCATTAATGTTAGTCCTCAAACTTTTGGCCCTCAGTTGTAGGGAGCCTGATGGCAATTCCCTGCACGGTGAGTGCTTGTTGTAGGGACGATGGGTCTGGTGTTAACGCTGCATGTGCTTCAGGGGTCAGAATCTATACTTTGACTTAATGCTGAATAAGCATGCTTAAAAATAGCATAAATCAAAATAAATGAGTACAGTTAACGAGCTTTAATTTCTATCCTTCTACGTCCTTACAAGTGCGTTTTGAAACAGCAGCAAAGCATTTGTGCAGCACTTCATACTGAGGCACTGAAGATGTGGTGGTGTGTCATTGCTCCATTTGTCACCACTGCGGTATGGCCTTGTGTAGGAATGCTTTCCCTGATGTCTGTGACGTGTTGTCCCTGAGGCCGTGCCCGCAGACACGCGTGCGCACCCCTTGAGGGAGCGGAACTGCATGTTCCTTGCATAAAACGGGCGTGCTCTGCGCCCGCAGCGTTCCTTAGCCTCTCCAGAGGGATCCAGACAGTTACACAGCAGAGGGAAAATACCCCTCGAAAATGCCCATCTTATTCGTTATATCCTTCCATAGGATGGCACCCTGAGGGCTGCGGGCAGCCTGGGTGTCGCAGCTGGTCTTAGCATCATAGATCGATTCCTGTAGGCTCCCCGGACAGACCTGAGAGGTGCTATCCTAACCCGAACGCGTGGAGCCATCCCATTAATTTGGGCCAATCTGACAAATCTTTGGGCCAATCTTACATTGTAGGTTTCTGAGCGCTGCCCGGAGACCTGTCAGTGCTCTGCCCCGTGCTTGCAGTGAAACAGAGCTTGCTTCATGGCTGTTTGAAGAAGGGTGTGTGAGGAAGCCCAGCTCCAGTATTGCACAGGTCTGCATTGCTCTGCTGAGCAGCGTGGCTCTAAAAGGTAGGATAAATTGTGCAGGTTTAGGGGGCTAGCATAGTCGTGCGCTTAGCCCACGTGGCAGGACTCTTGGGCAGA